TGGCGCCCACTGTGTGCACACACACACACACACACACACACACGCACACACACACGTATGTAAGAATAAATTTCTCTCTCTCTCTCTCTCTCTCTCTCTGTGTTTCCCACGGGAGGTGCCAGACGGCCAGTAATTTGGTTGTCTTGGCTCGTCTGGAGTAACACCTGCCCCCTCTCTAGGGAAACGGCCTTTCAGCCAAGAGGGAGAACGAGGAGCAAACACACGGAGAGCAAAACCTACACGACAACGCTTACCGTGACTGAACACTCTCCATCCTTTTCTCTGCGCTTCTGACTTAATTCACATCTCTTGGTAGACTATGTCAGTTTATCGGAATATCCTAAAGCAAATTACGTCACAATTACAAAAGTCACTGCTAATAAAGAATACAATTTACATGACGTAGGCTATCACTCAGAAGCGCAAATATAATTCTTAGGCGACCTATTTAATCTTTAAATAAGACAATATTATTCTATTATTCGGCATCTGTGATTAAAGAGTCAAACATTTTTCATTGTTATTTTATTTAAAAAAAAAAAAAAAGAAACGAAAAAACAAATCAACATTAAAATATGAAAAACAAAATACTTCGATTAAAAAAAGCTGTCACAGCAACTTTACTACAAAATATGTGCATAAAGCAATAAAGGGCACGACCCTGAAAATACAAGATAGATCTTTGGATAGCAGATATGTTTTTCACTAAAAAATTAACTCACTATAACTTTATATAACTCATTGTAGCCTATCACATGTCGTAGTGGGGTTATGAACGTAAACATCTCAGACATCGGCACGTGAACACTCAGAAAAAGAAAATGTAAAATTTACGATGTAATTTTTGGTCATACAATAAATTGCCAGTCTATTGTCTCATAAATCATAGGTCAACAATTCAAATGACATTAATAGACCATTGATTTAAATATTAGTTATTTAAAAAGATTTCTTTGTAATGCATTTGTTGTTCTAATGCATGACAAACTGATGAGCAAAACCAGACAATTTATCTAACTAACTGCATCACAAAATATATAGATATATTAAATCAATTAACACTAAAGGTGCAAGTTGATGCTTAACATTTTCATCTCATCATTACTGAATGACAAGGTCTAACACACAAGGTAACTTTTCTTTAAGCTACATACAACCAACGTACATTAATCTAAACAACAATCTTTCAACAAATAAAAAATGACATGAATCATATTAAAATATATTCAACAAGTATATAATAAATAACAAATAAGTATTTAAATGCGAGTGGTTATGGTCACGATGTCATAATTCGAGTGGCACTTATACGTAATTTCCTCCTGATTAAACAACTACTAACTATATCTACCGAGCAGCTATTAGAGGAGGAGAGGGGCTGGTTTATTCTTCAGTGCTCTACAGATTGATGCAACGGGTTTTCTCTGTACTTTGACCTGCTATAAAAACGCTATACACTGGTGTGTCCATATACACAAATAACAGCATAGGTTATTCGATTTGTTTTAAGTCCCTCTCGACCTTATTGCATCATTTATTCTGTATATAGCTTAAAGCAGGGACCACAGTCTTTTAAATGGTTCACGACTCTTTGAGCAATCACCATTTTTGGCTGAAGAGGGTATTCTCTTCGCTCTAAGCTATAGCCTAATATCTCATTAAAATGTATTAATACCTGTCTAAAGTCTAATGAACACTTGGGTGATAGCCATCTTATGTGGTTTCAATCTCTTCCAATTGCACTTCCAATGTAGGTATAGCGCAAAAGCTGCAAACTGCAAAATTAGGATACCGTGATGTTTGCTGCAGACGGGCCCCCATATGTCCTTGGACTGCGTTACTCATCATAAAAAGGGACCTGTGCTAAACATCCAACACATGATTTAGATATGAAATGTAACAAATAGCTAGTCTCAGAATTTCAATCTTGGACAGTTTTTTGTCAGGGGGCAGTGTAGGCAACAGCTTCCTCAGTTCGGCAAAGGCAACGTTGAAGGCTTCGACCCGGATTCTCTCGCGGGTGGCGTGGGCTGAACGGTATTTCGCTGTGGCGCGCCTGCGCCTCCTCTTTTCCTCCCTGCTGAGGGTTTGCGGGGCCAGAGACCTCATCTTGCCCTCTCCCTCCATGGGCTCGTCCGTGATGCAGCCAACCTTGATATCGTTCAGCATTGTTTCAGCGTCTGACTGGCTCCACGGTAGATCTGAATCAGTTTGTTCTGGACTCAGCATCATTTTCAGTTTCGACTTAGAAATGTTACAAGTCCTGAAACACAAATATTTCATAATTACAGTTGGGTTACTAAAGAAAACAAAAGAAACTTAGTTTTACACAGTTTGTAGTGTTTTTAACGATTATTTATCTGTCGTCGGGCCCCCCCCCCCCCCCCCCC